AAAAAAAAAAAAAACAAACAACCAAAAAAAACCCCACCACCAAACAACAAACTGCAAAGCCCAGAAAGACTTCAGCAGTAACAATCCCATCACTGTTACTTCCAAATAATAATTAGGCTAATTTTATCTCAATCTTCAGTTACCATGTCACATGTCTGTCTGCCTCTCATAACAGCATCTAATACTAACCATTCTTAAGCATAAATATTTTTACCCTTCAACTCAGGAATTAATGTTTGGTTTATTTTCTTTACCCACTTCATAGCTCCTACCACAACACTCTGAAACCTCATCTGCATATCAAATCCAACAAATTCCCTTCAGCATGAGCACATGGGACCATAGCAGTCTCTTGAAAAACAAAAGCAAACCCTGATAAAGGAAGAAACACTGATAAAGGAGGCAGACTAAATGAATAGCACTGTACCTACTGCAACAGAGAAGCAAAACTCCACACGTGGCATCCAAATCCCAGCTCTGCCAAAGGAGTACCCAATTAAGGGTCCTCAATTATCCCTTGTGGTTACCAACCACCTGTGCAGCCAGCTGGGGGAACCTGTGGTGGTTTTATCACGACACACAGGCAGTTCTTATCCCAGGGTACTGCTTTGAAGACTGTTGCCTTTCAAAAGCTCTTCCAGTATGGCTTAAGAATGCCACCATCTTTCTGGAACTAAATGTGTATTTTTCTTGTAAAGCACTTGGAAATCACACTTGCATTACAACTGCAAAGCACATGATGACTGCTGTTAACAAAGTTAGTGGTATAATACAAACATGTCTTCCTATTACAGAAATGCTCACCGTCATGGTCATCTAGCACTGGAAGTACATGTGTTCTCTAACTTATTTCTGCCAGTTTTATTATTTTAAGAGTGCTAGCTATTTTTTCAGAATTTAGGTGAGCACTACTAAGGAGCAAAAGCGAATACAGTAGGGAAGCAGAGGAAAGTTCTAGATGAATTTGTCCATGATTAACCCCCAGTTGTTCTTTTTCCACTTTATTTTCTAAATAGTTTATTCACAGAGGATTTAGAATTTCATTATTATATCATTAATGATGGAAAAACACAGTTGTCTTGAAGCTTGGAGTAAACAGCAGGAGGGGTAGTGAGGGAGGAGGGAAGGGTGAGAGGAGGCAAAGAGGTGAGGGTAGAGAGAGATGGAGAGAAAAATCCTGGCCATGCAGATAATTAGAGGGACAGCTGAGAGAATTGGACTGTTCAGCTTGGAGAAGAGAAGGCTCCAGGGACCTCTAATTGAGGCCTTCCAGCACTTGAAGGGGCACTAAAGAAAGATAGGCATTAACACTTTAGCAGGGCTTTTTGAGATAGCACAAGGGATAATGGTTTTAAACTGAAGATTTTACAATGAGGGTGGTGAAGCACTGAGCATGTTGACCAGAGGTGTTACATGTCCCATTCCAGGAAACATTCAAGGTCAGGCTGGATGGGACTCTGGACAGCATGATGAGGTTGATGTTCCTGTTCACTGCAGAGGGGTTGGACTAGACAGCCTTTAAATCTCCTTTCCAACCAAGCTGTTCTATGACCATTCTTATTACTGAATAATAACTTGTTTCCATCTGTGCCTCACCTTCGGCCCATTATCTTCAATAGCATGCCAATTTGGGAAAATGGTCTGAGGGAAGTGTTGGAGGGCACCAGAAAAAGACCCAGAAATTATTTGGCTTGTTCAAGCTAAGTTTTGGATTTTTTTGTTTAATAAAAAGATGCCTGATATAACTACTGCAATATGAGAATTTACCCGTATGTGCAGAATGGGACTTTTCAGGTTAAACAATGTCTGTTAACTTGTTTGAATGAACAGTTTAAAAATATTTTTATAAGATTTAAGTGTTTAAATGAAATAAAAAAATTGAAAATACAGCAGCTAAATAAACCAGAAAAACTTTTCTTGAAGTCTGACAAAGTTGTTCTGTATTTTCTGACACAAATTTGGAGTAAGATTGCTTCTCAAGTACCTGAATTTTCAGCCTAAATAGCTTTCATTTTGCAGAATTGCTCTGCAAAACCTGTCTTCTTGAAGCAATTTTCAGAACATTTTCAACAGTTGGAATCCAAAAATTAAGTAGGAACTCTATTTAAATCATGCTAGCGAGCAATATATTAGCTAGCTTTAACTTCATTGTTCAGAAGAAACAAAAAAAAAGAATTAACAACTGATAGAAGTAATTTATTTTCGCAATGTCTTTCTATTCTCAGTAACTGTAGAGCCACCCATAAATAAGACTGCCTGCTCAGGGGAGGAGCGTTCTAAACATGTATTTTTCAAAGCTATTTTGCCCCTCCTGCATAGAGCTGTCAGTGTAGTGCTTCATGATTTTGATTGCAAATGGAAACCCAGGCTACTTGAACTCCTGTCTCCAGAACCTCATTTAAAAAATACTATCTGAAATATATCTTTAGCGTTTTCAGTTCAGCCTCTTCCCATGAAGTAAATCACTTGCCAGGGAATACCTTGTTTGTACATATTTCTCCATAAACCATCAGTATTTAGGCTGCAATGCAACTAAGAGAACACTCAGCCGCCAGCTATACTAGTACCTGACCTGACGTGTGAGACGAGCAAGTAAATGCCATTAGGTTCCACAAAAGCACATTCTTTTTGAAAATGATTTGAGAATTGTCACAACAAAATACAGTAGCCATTTGACTTTTGGAAAGGCTTTTTAGTTTTTTTAATAGACATCAGTTGAGGAATTTGCCTCCTTAAACTCTGAACCAACACCCTGTCTCAGTGGCTCAGGAACAAAAGCCAAGCTATTACAGAATCAAGTACTCATCTGTGCCGGCCTTTTCCTCAGATAAAAAAAAGTCTTCAAGAATTTGAACTCTGTGGTAGCTTCTTCTTCATCCCACTAAAATTCTTACCTCAAACATAATTTCTCTTCACAGGGAAAGGCTAGTAAAGCATCAAACATTACACTTGAAAGCTACTGTTTCAATGTCTTGAAATTCTGCTACTGTCTGCTGGGAGGATTATACCATTTTTTAGGACAGAAAGTAGCTTTCGCCCTGATGCTCTTTGACAGTGGATCCTTGTCTTTGCAGTTAAAGCTTCTCTTTAATAGGCAGACATTATATTCATTGGAAGAGTACAGCCAAAGGAATGCAGGGAAGTGGCTGAATGCCAGGCCACAAGAAATGCTTCAGTAAACAATTCAAGAATATAATTTATGAAAAACCAACCACTTATTCGGCAATTACTAAAACAAATCCACAACTTTGCCCAATTATCTCTAAAAATATTTTGGTTTCCTTCTCTATGACAGTTTTAAGTTCTATGTAACAGTTTTTAGAGCCATATATAGAATTTTTATGAAAGCACAGAAAAAATAGTGCATGTTTCAATGTGCTGATTATACTACACTGTGGAAAACAGCACAAGTTCAGAGAACGGAAATTCATGCAAATATGCTGGATACAAATGACAAATGCTCCTACAACATTCATGTAAAAAAAAAGATTAGTTTTTGCACTTAAAATTTTGTTTGCACAGACAAAGCACCTTTTGGGAATTATTTTCAAGACCTTTTTGATTAATACACCAACACAAACAATGTATTAAATAGTCACTTAGGGATAATTTACAAATATTAAAGACCCCTTTTTAAAAGCAAGTTAGTTCCCTCAAAATCAATCAGGGAACTAGGTGAAGTCAAAACAAAGGAGAATACTCTGCTCCACTATTCTGCCTGTTTTCTTTTGTAAGGGTTTTCATAATGCAGTTCTCACCATATTTCCTATTACCTTTTTTCTGATTTACAGTATTAAAACCTGAGTTTTAGTTTCCTCTTTTTCCAAGTACCCAGTACATCCAGGCCATTCCCTGTCTGGCAATGAATTCCCTTGTCATGCTTTGTTTGAAGATACACATGTAAATTAGGGACTGTGCCAGGAAGGCGTTAACAGCACATGCTCCTGGGTATCTCCTGGGTATCTCCTGGATGGCCTGAATACACAGTCAATCACTACAAACCATTGTATTGCCTCGAGGTGATCCTGGTACCCTGCTCATTCCCTCCTCCCAACCCCAACAGCAGTCCCAGCTGTAGCTGAGGGAAGGAGCACACACAGGGCGATGTGCAGCCACAGAGAGGCAGCTTTTTCCACAGAGATGCCACCTGAAGCTGCTGCATGCTCCCTTCATGGTCCTTCTTGGATCATGCACTCAGCAAGCCTTGCAGGTAGACTCACTGACACTCAAGTTGGTAAATCTGCCTCAATTACTCTACCTTACCATGGGGAAATCCTCTGTTATGGGAAGGTTTACCCACACTGTTTAGGCAACATCTATCCTATTCCTTGCTGTGGAAGGTCCCCTCTGGTATCAGTTGTCTCAGCCCCTTCGAACAAGAACGTTCATTCTTCCTGATGAACAGATCCCAATAAAAAAACAGATTCCATTTCAGAAAGCCTTTCTTTACCTAAAGCTTTTACTTTCTTTACTGACTTAACCTTATGTCTTATGCTTAAAAAATAAGACTCATAGTGATTAGATTTCTTTTTATTCTTCCAGTTTGCTGCATTGCAAGCAGTTATTAAAATGATTTGTAATACAGAACTGAATGTGGGCTATATCAGTGGCACTCAAGATTTGAGGCTGACTGACAGATAATGAACTATCAGTTTTCCAAGTAGCTGCTGGCAGTCCTAGAAAGGACCAAGCTTAGCCTACTGTAACATACTGCACATGGATTTAAAAAAATACCCTAAAATGGAACAGCTGTTTCCTTCACACTTCCAGAAACCAACTCCAGAAGATATATATGAGTTCTACATAAAATAAATAACTATCACAGTACTTAGAAAGTCCAAACACAGGAAGACTATCTTCTGGTTTAAAAATATTTATTTAAAAGAAAAGGAGATCTATACTTAAATGGCCAGGAAAAAAAATCCTCAGTTTCCCCCTCAAAACCATTACTCTGCAAAATTTACCTTTCCCTTAAGTTTCAGCTTCAATGTTTTACTTAAAAAAAAAAAAAAACAAAACCAATAAAACCCCAACAACTGAATTTTCATTTCCTTTTCCTATGCTACTATCCTGAGGAAATTAAGTTCCATTCAGTGAAAAGTTGCACAGGATGCAAGAAGAAACTGCCATAAAATGTATCCACAATATACAAGTATAAAAATATTTTGCTTATGATTCAGTATTATAATTTAATAACTTTTTGTTGTTTCATAGGTATCTGGGAAAGGTACAGACACATGTCCTGATCCTGTTACAAGAGGTAGAATGCCAGCATTTGGTACAACATTCCAGGAGAGAGTCAAGGTGATATTCCTGTTTCCCCTGCAAAAGCAACAAAGACTATCAGGACAAACACTCAAGCAATTTAATTAACAGTTACTAGTATTAAATACATTAGGTTACAGATTGTTTATCTGGTCCAGAAACAAAAAGCTGTTTAATTTTAGGTAGTTACTGCCTACTTTTTGTGTACTTGACTCCTTTGGAGTTGAGTGCATCACAGAACCAATTTTAGACAGGCTGAAGGCAGAAACCCAGAAACATGTTGCTCATAATAGCAGTGCAACTTCCAGTCTAGAGAATACATATATCTTATCCCAAGGCCATCTTCTAACAGAGTATCTGACAGAATATAGGTACCTTACCACACCAATGAACACATGTATTAAATGCAAAGAATATAAGTAAATCAAGATACCATAAATACCAGTAATGAAACAAATATTTACTTACTTGAGACCATTTCCATCATCAAAGAAAAAGTACTTTGACTTCATGTCTTTTAAGGACAGCCTTGGGTTATCTCCTCTCAACATGATCTTGTCCCAGAGGACCACCTGATTTAGGGCCTAAAATCACAATTGTAATTAAGTCAGCAAGGTACCTTACCAGATCACATTCAGACACTGGGCCTTCATTGCACCATTCATCTAAAACCCCTGAAGTACATGCTTGCAATACATACCTAATTTAACAAAATAATGCTTCATAATGGGGTAATGTAACACTACTACAAAGTGAACTGTGGCACAGAATAAATGGAAACAACAAGGAACATCTTAAAACACAAGAAAGACATTTAAAAAAAAAGTCATATGCTTTAGAAGAATTACAAAGCATAAAGGTGTTTCCTTTTGAACTGCAAAGGTAATAGTTTTAAAGCAGTATTTAGACTTTGTGTCAAATAAACTGAGTTATCATGACTCTGCTTACGTCCTTACCATTTTTCCAACTTTAATGGAAATCCCTACGTGAATTGCAAGCATAACCCCCCAAAAAATTATTAACAGTTGAAAAAGTTAGATCCCAAGTTCTTACGTTACTGGAATTTACACTTTAAAGTGTAAAGTTCTTTTAAGTAGATGCTAAACAATCTTAGTAATTTATAGAACAATTTAGAAAAATACTGCTCAGTATTTGTAAGAAGTGTTGATTTACGTGGAAGAAAAATCTAAAATATGGAACAATATAATAGAAACACTGCAACTCTAAAAACTATTCTAGTACAAACACAATATCCACCATCTTGTTTAATATAACTAAAGTACTTAAAAAAAAGCAAGTTAAAAAAGAAAGAACAGTTTTGTACAGCAAGTTAAGAAAACCCCCAACCTTTCACCATATCCTTGCAATGTGACCACAGAAGCTTTAACTAGACTTCAGTGGTACCATGGCAGCATGGTGTTGCATTAATTTTTTTAAAGGCTGTGCCACATAGCTTTTATCAGATCAGTAAAAAGATTTTTCAGCTATCCCAAAGGGAAGGTTCAATCACAACCACTTTAAAACAGCAAGGCAACTTATTTGAGAAGTATAACAAGGTAATGTAAATGAATTATGGGGCTACAGTAACTGGTAGGGTCAACTGTGATCTATGAACAAAACACACACCACATCAGGCCAGCCCAGAAGCCACTCTCTCTTGTTTCTAACAGTGGTCAACTGCAGAAATTTAGAAAAAAAAAGGAAAACGGATAGAAAAGGTAAAAAAACTCATTTACACTACACTATTGTAAGTATACTGGAACACAAAGCATGTTATTTTTCTCCCACTTATATCGGGCATATATCAAGTTAGGTTTTATGCAGGTGAACTTCCCAGCCTACAGTTGAACTGTCAAAAAACAATCATGAAGGCCAGTAAAACCAGTGCAGGCTAGTAGGAAATGCGGGTGTCTTTAACTCTTCTCAGCAGAACTACAGAATGTTTAAAAATAGCTGCAATACTAAAAATGGGTAATTGCTTCAAACCTCTTTTTAATACTTACATTGTTTTTCGTTGAATATTCTGCAGACAAATATAGAAACAACTGTTTAACATTCCAATCAAATATACTCTGCAGATGTATGCAAGTTAAGAAAAATACCATACTGTACTTACATATCCTTGTTTTATTTTTACTAGATCTAAGTGGTCTATGCTCATTACAGTGAGCTCTTACCTTTTGACATACCTCATCTTACTCATAAATCAGAGCACTGCCAGCAGCTTGAACACATACTTAAATCATAATAAAGTGAAAGATTCTTAGGTAGGTATTTATTTTTACTATTTATGAAATTTAGCTGCTATTTCTCTTCCAATAATTTAAGAGTTCTTTGTTTGACACTGTAAACTAGTAACCAGAATTCTCTGCTAGACAATCTATAATAAAACCTTTAAGAAAAAAATCAGAACAGAATTCTACCCTAAATATCCTCAAGGCAATTTTTTATACTGTAAGAGAACCTTTGTATCCAAATGCAATAATGTTAAACAATATATAAATACAAAATTGGTGAAGTGTAGGATATTCAAAGAGCCTATATGGGAAATATTCCATATTGGAAGGGACTCAAAAAATTAGCAAATTTGATTGCCTGCTAAAAACAACAAAAGCTCATTAGACTTGAACAAAACTCTGCTCAGATTTTTGATCAACAATAAAGAACTGGTGACTGCCATTTGAGACAGTATCATAATGCTGGGATTCTAAACAATTGTCTGTTTATTTAACAGTAACATGTGACTGCTAAGGAAAAAATTTTTTAATTCTATTCTCACAATAGAGATTAGCTGTAATCTTTTATTTCCTAGTCCTCTTTTGTATTCTATTTGGCATTATCTCAAAGAATAATTCCCTAACCAGCCTCAAAATCTCTTTTTTCTTCTTCCACTCATCCCAAGACAAATATGTTTTTAAGCTACTAATTCAAAGAGCAAGAAAGGAAAGACTGAAATATTTAACTGCTGTCACTGCAAGAATTGTTACAAAAATTTTACTTGAACATTTTTTGTCATCTGGCTCAAAATATCAAACAAGATTCTGAAGCTTTCCTTGATAGGATTCCTTACCACTTGCAAAAGTTAGCAATTAATTAAAGAAGCTTAAAGGAGTTTGTGAAAACTGTATGCTTCCCTTTCCTTTGCCTAGTTTCTTTTTCTGTCATTTTATTTAACTTCTCTCAGGACTAAAAACTTCTTTCTGGTAGTCAAGACAGTCCACATACCTGTATCACTTCACAAATTTTGAACAAAAAACCCTACCAGACTTTTGCAGCTCTAAATATTGCACGCTTTATTTATGCCAGGCATGAGAGATTGTCAGAATCATTAAACAAATAAACAAAAAAAAAAAAAAAAAGGCTGTTACTAGTACAAGTCATTCAAATGTGGAATCTTTATGCCCACATATTGCAGACTAATCCTTGGGTAAGAACATTTGTTTTAGAGGTCCTGTCCTGCCTTGCTCTGCTTCTCTCTATATATAATGTGTACAGGTTTATGCATCTATTTTATAATTTCAGTCTCCGATTTTAATACGTATAAGCATTTCAGAAGTAAAACTAAGACTTAAGAGCTTACTTCTCCTGCTGCCAGTTGATAAAAAAAACCCTCTTATTCCCATGCAGACTTGCAAAAATATGATTAGCTGTTTATCCAACATTTGTATCACGAGTTGTATTTTGTGTGGTCTGTTCACACAACACAGTTCTTCAAAAGAGTGAAACCAAGACACAGAAGTGATCAGTGTCTTGCCTAACAGTGATAAAAACCAGCAGACAGGGAAAAATCCCAGGATTCTCAGACCAGCTGCAAAACATGGTTTAGTGTAATCACCTGAACATGCCACCTATTATTTGGTACTGACTTCTGCAGAAAAATTCTTTCAAGAGCCCAAATCCAGACTAGCAGGGAAGCAAAGAAATACAAAAGAAAAACTGCGAAACTGCAACAGCAATTGAGAAAGCGGCCAAAAACCAGTGTGATACATCTTTTGTATGCTTCCCAAAGAATTTCATACTAGTCAATACTAAAGGTTAGAGTGTTTAACATCTAAGCAAGTAAAGGATTACAATACCTTTTTTAATTTTAGAAACTGACAGGTACTTATATGCAACTATTATATAGTCAGGACTCTGAAAGCCTCACAAGAAAGTGAGTTTGAAAGGTGCAGTTCCTTAGATTAGGTATGACATTCAAAACAGTATGCTATATAAACCCTACCATTAATTCACTCCTCAAACCACTGATACAAACTTTGTTTAGAAGTAGTAATGTCTAGATGTTAAACTGCACTCCCCATTATTAGATACAGTGCACTTCACAATAGAGCCTGATTTTAACAACAGGCATTAAACAACCTGTAATCTACTAGAGACCAAACAGCTGGGTTAAGTTCTATTTCACTGCCACAGCTATGCAAAATACTATTTTTAGCTGCTTTAAAATTTTATTTTAAGACAAATAGCTAGTTTTCCCCAAGTCCTGAATATCTGAAGATTATAAAGTAACAAAAATAGCATCAAAGTGTTCTTATACCAAAACGTTTGCAAACCATTTTTTCCATTAAGGATATCTGCCGTAATATCAAATGTGACGAATCCCAGATCACTTCTTTCTCTAGGTCCAGTGAAATCTTCTACATTTTTTCTAAGAGAAAACAAAACACAACACAATATTATCCTTTCTCATTATTTGTATCTTACACACTACATAAATTATGGTTCTTATTAGATATATTCCTTATTTGCTTTATATACTTCTGGCTAAAACGTAATCAACGTTACAAACTAATACCTACCTTCCAGGAATTATGGTGCCCCGGTTTTAAGTGTCAGGCCTAGCCACCACAGTGTCTAAGACATTTAAGTAGCCTATTGACTTTTTCATTTTAACAAAAATCTGTATCTAAACTGGACTATATTTCATTTTAGTAAAATATGTTTTAGCATCCCCATATATGTAAAATTGGTTGGGACACCATCAGCATAGCAGTCTGCTGGCAACCATGTTTAATATTATTTCTTAACTGTCCTTGAAAAAACAAAGCCTCTTGTGCCCCAACTATTCCAATACAACAGTTTACATGCACAGTTCACACAAATTTCAAGATTTATTCCTGTGATGTATTTAAATAACAGCATGAAGAAAATAGTTATTTGCCTCTACATTCTGGAAAATTGTATCATTTTAGAAGGCTTTATTATAAACCTACATTTGGAACAGTATCTCACATTGTCACACTAAACCACAACAGAAAGAGCAACTGAAAAATAACAGACATACAGCAGATATTTCCATATGTATTCATAAAGTTTATCAATTTACCAAAGTTACTATCTACAAAGAGAGATACCATAAGCAATTAGCTTGGCCATCAACTATGAACCTTAACTCCTCATTGAACAAATTTTAAAATTAATTATGAACTTCATAGTTATATTTATTCCATATAATTATTTGGAAATTATTCAATTAAAACATTATTTCATTAAAACCAAGTTTAGTAATCTCAAAGAAAAAAAAAATTACATGTGAAGAAAACACTTTTGGAAATAGTAGTAAAGAAAAACACCACAAAATCTTCACAATTTAAGCTTTGATATAAATTTCCATCTCTTTGCATATTTTTAAGTAGTAAACCTTATCAAGCACTTGACTTCACCTTTTAACCACTGTCAGTCAGAGGGAGTAGTAGGCCTTAAGCCTGGGGTCTCCATAACTTCTCAGACATTCCAGAGAAGCAGATTAGGTACAGCATCTCCCAAAAACACCAGATCTGTGCATCACAGAAGGGACTGGCAATACAGATTTCACCCAAATCAGGCATTAGTATGCTGCCCTATATATGCTGAGCTCACCATAACACTCAAAGACTTGCTTTAATGCCAAGTTTATGCTTTTGCAATCCTCAGTGTAGCATGAATACATGTTTTGGTTTTTTTTTTTTTGGTATGGTATTAAACCAGTCTGAAAGGTGATGGCACTCCCTTTATTTGCATTCATGTCTCCTTTCAAGTCCTGCTATTAGGCATCCACTGGTGCCACTTACTTTGGGGTGGTTCCAAAACTCCACAGACTCATCACCAAGTCACAGAACGGCCTGGACCGGAAGGGACCTTAAAGATCAAGTTCCAACCTCCCTGACATGGTCAGGGACACCTTTCACTAGATCAAGTTGTGCAGAGCTCCATCCAACCTGGCACTAAACACTTCCAAAAGTGTGCTGCTTTAGCTCGCTAATCTGAGCCAAAACTAACCGAA